TGCGTTCTAGCCATGTGCGTGTCAGAGTGTTGATGGATCTGGCGTAGGGCGTTCAATTTCAATGGATCCAGCCTCCAAGGTTAATGACGAGCGAGGAGGAGAACCGTCCAGTTCCTCGGTATCGGCTCTATTGCCAATGTGGGCCTTGGTGGAAGGAGTAGCGGACACCAGTCTGGGAGAGCTACAACAGGCTTTGGAGTCGGAAAACCCTACGACAGTGTGGACCGCAGTGAGGCGCCTTCGGGAACGTGCAATTGCACTGCATGTGGCCTGTGGGTATTTCCTGGGTGCTCATGGTGGGGCTCGAGCGTTGGCGGAAGGCCGGCGTAAACAGCTGGACTACGATAATAAAGTCCATCTGAATGAGCGTATAGGGGAGGAAATGGTACCGTTGAGGCTGTGGACCAGGGGCCAAGCCAGAGACCAGCAGTGGAATGTACGAGATGCTGCTACGGTACTTATGGGAGGTGATAGGAACTTCCTACCAGAGTTGACGGCTGATCTAGTGGGTAGCATAGGGAAACCCTATGTGGTGTCATCTTCCTTAACGATGAATCCAGAGGCGCGGAGCCAAGCCCAGGAGTACCTTCATCACCAGCTGAGCCTATATAACGTACAAGCTAGACTCCCGGAAGGGGCGCTATTCTCGGTAGACTCTCATACTGACACCATACTGCTGGCCTCTCGCACTGGTGGGTTCTCGGTTCGGGCTATTTACGATTTGTCCTCTTGGACGATATTGGACGTACGTGTACATCGGAAAAGAAGGACGGCATGTCGCATCGTACTGCAGGCGGTGATGGATCAGCTGGTTCGGGAGAAAAGCGATGAAAATGGCCTTAGCGTGATGTACACGTGTGTGGCTAGGATGGCCGCTCAGTTGCAGTTGAGGAGTCTCCTTCAGCAGGCAAGGGATCTGATGAGCTCCTCACCGGAAGGGCCAATATGGGGTGTGGAAAAGGTTGGGGACGATTCGACCGAGATGGAGAATTTCGTAAAGAGGATGGAAGTGAAGCTGTGCCCGGGCGCGGTGGTGACCACGAGCCAGGCGGGGAAGTGGTCCCCAATGATAGTATGGTCCGCAGGAGACTCCGGGGTCAAGGCGAGCCTCATGGGGGACTGGCTCTGTCCGGACCAACTAGAGGTAGTACTAGTTGTACGAGAGGCTGCTGCTCATGTTAGATGGCGTGGTTACTTAGGTGCTCCCGGCTGACTACCTCCCAGCTAGTGACCTGCCCCGTTGTGTGGACCTAGCCTTTGGTCTTGTTCAACGGCAGACTCTGATGTCGTTGAAAGGCTCACTAAGAGGCAACAACAGTGCGAGTTTACGGCAGACTAATGATGGTGATGAGACGTCATGGTCGTTGGTTTTGCGACGGCCATCAGGGAGTTTGTGTGCTGTTGTCTCCCTGGATAAGACTGGCCGTATAGTAGTGGAGTCACCCTTGTTGCCCTCGGTGGACCCTCTTGTTGTTACTTCTTTATCACACGCCCTGGCCCTACTTGATCGGCAACTGCCCTTCCTTGCTAACGTTGAATCTTCGGACCATAAGGCCGAGGTCAACGGCTGGCACCGAGTTGCATGGCCCTACGGTTTCGCCTCGCCTCCTGAGAGTGAGCTGTTACCAACAGAGCCCACCGACGTT